ACTACTGAATAAAATTTTTAAAAAGAAGAAATCAATGAATCTCTCAAGTGATTACATTATTTTTTCTTATATATCACGGGACATTATTAATAACTGTCATTATCCTGAAGATTACTTTTGTGCTTTGTGTTGTTTGTTTTTTAATGCAATGCTATCATGGAACCATGTTTTCATTGTCTTTTTAAGAAACAAAGAAAAACCTAAAAGTTACACAAACATGTGCCATAGTCCTGGCAAAGGAAAGAGCCCTGGTTGTGCGATAATTAGCATTCAGCTGCTTGAGGCTACCCGCTCGGTGGTGTGAACCCAGGGGTCATCTAATGGAGAAATAGCCTAGCAACCTGCTCTTGTAAATATTTAGAGCTTAGGAAACCCTGTGGACAAGTTCTGTCCTATTTCATTGAACTCAGTTCTACGGAGCACAAGCTCCACACTGACAAAGGCCTTGAACTCAATGAGTAGATTTTCAGGCAAACAAACTGTGGGGACAAATTTGAACATACTGAGTGGCTTGTCTTGATCATGAGGGGAGAAAAAGAGTCTTTGATGAGAGTCTACCTAGGACAAAATATGAAGTAGGAAAATTTGTTTAATTTCAAAACCATTTTGATTGGGAAAGTGGGGCCCCAGTATTAGGAATGCATATGTCAGCACTACAGAGGAAAAGAAAATTGAGAAGTGCATGATCGTGTTTTCCAAGGCTAGTCCTAGCTGGTAATGGCAGTTTTAGGGGTCAAGGGTTCTTTAGAATGTTCTGTCCAGCCTTCTAGATTCTGGATTTTTCCATGTTTTGTTGTTGTTGTTGTTCATAATTCTTTTTTCTCTTTTGTTTGCTGTTATAGTTTATTAACATTTTCATGCTTTTCTAATACACGTGGGGCAAATGTAAGAAGCGGGAGAAATGTAGTGTATTTATATTGGAAAATTATTTAAATTCAAGAATAAAATCTAGTTTACTGTGATTCATATAGCCTAAAGGAAATTTTTGTGTGTGAGTTAACTCATGTTTCTCCAAGAAAAATAAATCTACTGAAATAAGTTTAATACACTACCCTTCTCATCAATATTGTTATGTATCAGAGATTGCATTAGTATTGAACATTGATGTTAAGAGAGAATGATGAGTACATTTGATTACATAATGGAGGATGCCAGATGTACATCGTTAATACATAAGATAGCTGAATAGCTGTTTTTACTCTTGTCATAAATGTGAAATGTCAGATAGTGAGATAATAAGTGAGGACTAAGTGTAGTAGATTGTACTATTTCTTAGAAATAAATTTCTTCTAAAATTTTTGTTTGTTTACTAATATGCCCCTTTACAGAAATGACTATAGTATGGACTATGTAATTATGAACATTATAGAGGGATTTGGGTGGGCCTAGGTAGCTATAATATGTTTACTTCTTAAATTTTATATGAAAGTGCTTATTATGCAAAAGACAACATTTCGAGACTTGAATTGTCAAGGGCAGTATTTCTTATATTAAATAAAACTAAGAATGGCAAGCCTTTATCTGGCGTTTTTCAATTTGAAAAAGAACTATGTAGAGGGCAATTCTTAATAAATATTGTCATGTGTTTTGCTGATTAATACTATCAGTTATACTTAGATTTATATCATATCCTTCATTAACTATCAAAATGCAGACAAAAACATTATCCTCTGACTGAATGGTAACTCTTTATAATCTGATTGTAACAACTATTTCAAAAACTAAAATTCATGTCCATTCTGAAAACCTGATTTGTGGGGAATTTTTTACTTACATTTATTAAGATATAATTTTATTTGCAAATTATTTTATTAAACGTATTTTAGGGAAGCCCTATTCAAAATTGAATTGGATGGGTCCAAAGATGGATAACTTTCAGGAAGAGGCTTATTGCAAATTCATGAAATGAAACCTGGTTGCTTTTGCATGAGAGCAAACAGTTTCAGTTGTCATTCAATAAAGAATAATAATTATAATATGTCCAGGCTTCAAATAGCTGCTTGAGTTCTTTATTTGAGTCCATTGATCATTTCATCTTCATAAATATAGAGACTATCCTATTTCAGAGGACAGCTGGGAAGTTTGGGGAATTATATCAAATTCCAAATAATAACAGATGAAAATACTAATCCATGGTGTGAAGATTTTGTTTTTCATTCTCCAACTGGCCATCTGCAAATTAGTCCATCGGCAGTGACTTTTGAGGTCAGTGTATTCTCGGCACAAACATGCTCAGCATAGAAGACAGCATATTTATGATCATAATAACAGGAGCACTCATAGTAGGATTACTGGGGAACGGATTTATTGGATTAGTGACCTGCATTGACTGGGTTAAGAAGAAAAAGCTCACCTCTATTGACTACATCTTTACGAGTTTAGCTTTCTCCAGAATTTCTGTGATTTGCATCTTAGAAGTAGACATGATCTTACAGATATTCTACCCTGATGTTTCTTTTGCCAGTAAAATAAGGGTGGTCAATAATCTATTCTGGGTACTTGGCAATCATTCAAGCAGCTGGTTTGGCACTTGCCTCAGTGTCTTCTATCTCCTGAAGATTGCGAACTTCTCCCATCCACTTTTTCTCTGGCTGAAGTGGAGAATTGACAGGCTCACTGTCCCTCTCCTCCTGCTGTGCTGCATTATCTCTTTGTTGACGTTCCTTGCACTAGTAATGATAGTGAACTCTGATGACCAGCTTCATATCACCGAGGAACACAACATCACTGAACTGCTCTATGTGAGTGAATTTCGTCAGCTTACAATATTCAATATCTTTGGCTTTATGGTAATTGTCCCATTTGCTATGTCATTGATCTCACTTTTCCTTTTAATTTTATCTCTATGGAGACATACTAAGCAAGTGAAACACAATGCTGCAGGCTCTAGAGACCCCAGCACCGAGGCCCATGTGAGGGCCATGACAACTGTGACTTCATTTGTCTTTCTACTTTTTGTGTACTATTTGTCTTATTTTCTGATGGCCTCTAGCTACATTGTGAGAGAAAAGAAGCTTGCTGTGCTGTTTGGAGAGACCATAGCAATTCTCTATCCCACCGGCCATTCACTTATTTTGTTGCTGGGATCTAACAAGCTGAGGCAGACATCTGCCAGGATGCTGATGCGTGTTAAGACAGCCTGCATGATGCAAAATCTTAACTTTGCAAACAGACTGTAAAGGTATTTCTTTTTCAACTAAGAATATAATTTTATTAAATACCCTTTCTCAATATGTTACAGCTATTTCTTCTATTTTGGATGTATGTATATTTTCTTGAGCCCCATCAGCAAACTAAGCCTCTGTGGGTGATGCAAGGCTAAAGCTCCGGACTACTAACTTAAAGGTTGGTGGTTTGAACCCACCCAAGGGCACCGCAGAAGGCAAGCCCAGCGATCTGAATCTCTCAAGATGACCACCAAGAAAAGCCTGTGAGACAATTCTACTTGGGAGCACAGGGGTTACCGAGATTTGTAATTGACTCAAGAGCAAGGGTTTGGTTTATTTTTTAAGGTGTCTCTATATTGGCAGACCTCCTTTTTCATGCCACCTTTCCTCCAGGTATTCTGAAGTGACCTCATTTCTCTTTGTCCTCTCACTGCAGAGGTCAGGTGTGCATTACTTAAATTCCTGTAAGATTGTCCTTTGGACTATAATGAAAGCAACTTGAGTTGTACTTACCGGTTCCTTTACTCATTTTGCACATTCCTAGAATCTTAAAAAATGAAAAATTAATTTTTAATATGCCCACTCGTCCAAAATAAAGCTGGCCCTTGGTGGTGCTCCTTTCGCGGCTCTGCTGAGCCACTCGGGTTGGGTTATGGACGAGGACCTCAGACCCGCCGTCCTGGCTCTGGCTCAGTTTGCTGTTATGGGTATCCTCCCTCCTGCCCACCTGAATGATGCATTAGGGGATCCCCCAGGTAATTGCCTGCTGGGACTCCCTATTCTGTCCCTCCTGAGGTTCTGGCGCCTCCAGTTCACTTATCTTGAAGGTAAATTTCTCCTCGAATAACTTGCTTTCCAGGTAGTTCCTGAATAGAAATAACCCAGGTTAGGGCTCCCTCTGTGGGGTTCTTTCACATCGTTTCACAGTCTATCTCTATCGCAAAGGATAGAGATAAACACTATTCACCAAACAGTATCTCTCAATTCCGGAACATCACTTACAGGTCCTTTTCCCTCAGAACTTCAGAAAAGGAATGTATGAAAAACTAGCTATGAAATAACCAAATGCTTCCACTAACAATGTAATATTTGTCCATGATGAAGTGCATCAATATATTCCCTGAGTGGCTCAAACAGTCAAGTACTCAACTGTTGGCTAAAAAGTTGGCTGTTCCAACCCATCTAGAAATATCTCAGGACACAGTTTTTACAATCTGTTTCCACAAGACCAGTCTTTGTGTTTTCATGAGCTGAAATAGATTTGACAGCAACTAAGAACAGCAGTAGTTCCATAATATGCAAGCAAAAATGTAAATATTAAACAAGAATAAGATAAAATATGGTTCCACTTTGAATGTCGAGTTCCTTCTTAGAAGGGTGTTGCGACTGCATGTATGTCTAGGCTTCGTCTGTCTTATCAGACTAGGCACTTTTGCTTTTACTCCCAATATTGCCATTATCTAATTCTGGCCCATTTCAATCCACCCATTTCCTTTTACTATAGCTCAAATACCATTTTCCTAGAAATTATCAAGTTTTTCTGCATGGAATTATGTAAAATGTACTCTGTAAATTACCAATATTTGCAGTCCTAAATACATAAGCTTCATCGGTTATGGTTATGATACGTTGCCTATCTCTGCTTATATTTGTTGTACAATGAAGGATAGCTGATGTCTTATGATGAAACATATCAATATATGTTATTAAGAATGTATACATTTTTATTAAATACTGTTATTGAGGGCTCTTACATCTCTTACCACAATCCAAACATTCACCCAGTGTGTCAAGCACATTTACACATATGCTGCCATCATCATTTTCAAAGCAAGAGAATGTATAAATTTTATGCTTTGATTTTTTTAGATGAAAGAATGTTTTACAAGAGAATTACTCTGAACTGTTTTCCCACATTATTCTGAAATCTGAAGTTCTGTGTCTGTTTTCTGTTGCACACAATCAAGTAGCTCTAATGGCCACAATCATTGAGGATGAAAGTAGCTTGTTTATGACTAGACTTGCTGTCATATGTTTGATTTCAGTATAAAATTTTTAGAACCCCTTTGTTCTATGTCATTTGCAAGCATAAAGTCTACACTTACCGGCAGTAAAATAAAATTTAGTCAAAAATATATTTGGGTGAAGGTATTATCATAGCTGCTGTGAGCACCACATTTACCTAGAGCAGCAATTCTCAAACTGTGAGTCGCGACCCTTTGGGGGGTTGAAGGACCCTTTCACAGAGGTCGCCCAAGACCATTGGAAAACACATATTTCCAATGGTCTTAGGAACCGAGACACCGCTCCTCGATCCATCTCCAGGTGGGTTCGCCCACATGCAGATACGCCCACCTACTAGTGAAGACTGTTAACCATGCTACAACATGTTTCAAGGCAAAATTTCATTTATTTGTAATTAGAAATAAATATTTCACAATGTATAATTACATATTATTTTGTGAGTAATCACTATGCTTTAGTTATGTTCAATTTGTACCAATGAAAATACATCCTGCATATCAGATATTTACATGACGATTCATAACAGTAGCAAAATTACAGTTATGATGTAGCAACAAAAAAATTTTATGGTTGGGGGTCGCCACAACATGAGGAATTGTATTAAAGTGTCTCAGCATTAGGAAATTTGAGAACCACTGTCCTAGAGTCTAAATAGGTCAGGTATCATTGCCAAAGTCAGAGTATAGCAAGCGTCTGTGATGATGGCTATATTTTGAGGGCGATCTTAATTGTTCACCAAATCAAGGCCATGTCTCAGAGATGAAGGAAGCATGAGAGAATGCATGTTTTCACAGCAAAGGATGAGTGAGTACTCCATTATTAATCTCTGGAAATATTATATAGCAGGAAGTTACCAGTAAATCTAAATTAGAGAAACTATTTCAAAACAAGCATTCATCTGCAGAAATGAGACAACATTAACCATCAATCGCCATCCTAAGAAGATAGAGAGTTTGTGGGTAAAGGTTTTAAGATATAATTTGATAAAGAGAACAGAGGAGAGTATAAAGAAATGGCATTTCTCCTTCTATTTTCTTACATACAACCTACAAAAACATATATTCAACTTTCATACATATAATCTTAAGTGAAGAGGAAACATCCTAAGGTAATCAATTCTCGTGTTGTGAGCATGACTCCTTCACCATATTATATGCAGCATGACATACTGTTAGCATCAGCTATTATTTGACTTATAAGAAAACGCATGAATTTATAACACCTTAAGCGAAACTATTCCTTATCTGAGCACGGTAGATAAATGAGCTACAGCACCTCTTTTGGAACCAAGTAATCTATGTTTAGTGTTACCTTTTTGAAATTCCTGAATGTGGACTCAATCTTCATATTCTTTACTATTAATCTATATTGTTATCATATGAATGCGCATCAACATTTTATATTCATTGGCAGATATTTGAGGTGCAGATGGGCTGGATGAAATGCAGGAAACTTAGTTATTTTGAATGTTAGTACTCCCAGAAGCATTAATTCTCTGTAGTTTCACCTGAAATATAATTTGAGGCTGGGAACATTGTTCTTTGTTTATCTACAATTTAAATTTAATTGCATGTCCTCTTTTACCTTTCAAAATGTGGCAACACTATTAAGGCTAGCAGTAAATATCAAGAGTATTGACTCTGGAATGTGTGAAACTGTCTCAGAAGGACAGGAGAGAATCACAATATTAAATCAGCCCATTTGCATCTTAACAAATCATAGCTCAACCTAAATTTAGCCATATGTGGAAAAGTACAACCAGCTGAGAAGATAAACGGACATGCAGTGCCTAGTCAGGCTTCACCAAGCTTGTTGTTTCTCAAGATTAGCCAGGATTTAATGAAGAAGACAACAGTCTCCATTCATTGTTTCGATCTCCAACACCAGACAGAAAATAAGAAAAGCGATAAAGAAAATAACAGCAGCATCTAAGAAGCAGGTGTAGATCCCACACTACATCAGGTCAACTAAAAACAAACAAACTATTTCTCTATTCGGACATGCCAGCTAAAATGGAAAGCATATTAATGGTCATAGCAGCTGGAGAATTTACAATGGGCGTGTTAGCGAATACGTTCATTGCACTGGTTAACTGCATGGACTGGATCAAGAGCAAGAAGATTGCCTCCATTGATTTAATCCTCACAAGTCTGGCCATATCCAGAATTTGTCTCCTGTGCGTAATACTACTAGATTGCTTTATATTGGTCCTGTGCCCAGAGGTCTACACCAGTGGAAAACAAATGAAAATCATTGACTTCTTCTGGACAGTAAACAACCATTTAAGTGTCTGGTTTGCAACCTGTCTAAGCATTTGCTATTTCCTCAAGATAGCTAATTTTTTCCATCCCCTATTCCTCTGGATGAAGTGGAGGATTGACAGGGTGATTCTCTGGATCCTGCTGGGGTGCTTGGCCTTCTCTGTGTTGATTAGCCTCCCAGTCACTGAGAATTTGAATGATGATTTCAGGCTCTGCGTCAAGGCAAAACAGAAAATGAACCTAACTTTGAGATGCAGAGTAAGTAAAGCTCAATATGCTTCCACCAAGGTTCTTCTCAACCTGTTAACCCTCCTCCCCTTTTCTGTGTCCCTGATCTCATTTCTCCTCTTGATCCTCTCTCTGTGGAGACACACCAGGCAGATGCAGCTACATGGCATAGGGTACAGAGACCCTAGCACAGCTGCCCATGTGGAAGCCATGAAAGCCGTCATCTCCTTCCTCTTCCTCTTTGTTGCCTACTATCTGGCCTTTCTGGTAGCCACTTCCAGCTACTTCATGCCAGAGACTGAATTAGCTGTGCTATGGGGTGAGTTGATAGCTCTAATCTATCCCTCCAGTCATTCATTTATTCTAATTCTGAGGAACAATAAATTGAGACAAGCATCTTTAAGAGTGTTGTGGAAACTGAAGTTTATCCTAAAAAGAAGAAAATTCTGACACACATCCAGACCTGAAGAACAACTATCAATTTTTGAAATGAAGGAAGACAAGATAGCTCCTAATCTTTTTATTAATATTTTCATTAATATGTTTCTTAGTTCATATGTGTAATTTATCTTAAACTTTATTTATAATTTAAAGAATCTCATGTAGACATGTCATTGACTTTCTTTCTCTTCCCATATGTCTAACTTCTATCTATCTGTCTGTCTGTCTGTCTACATATCTATATAGAGAGAGGAAGCTTCAGAGCTTTGTGAAAAAAGAGTTATTAAATATAATGGAACTTTTCCATGAACATTTTGGAGCTCATTCTTACCTATCTGTCATCTTTCTATCTATCTAACATTTATATCTATATACAAACTTTTTCATTTCCCTCCTTTTAGATATTTTCTTAAAACTTGTTTTAAAAGTAGAAGTCAGTATGCCAATATTATCTATGTGATGGGGAGGGTATTTTCATAATTTAAAATCATTTCTTTGGATGCAAAGTTGTATGATGATTTCAGAACAACTGTAATAACATCTTGCTGTGATTTACATTTCTATTTAAAGCAGCTGACCTATCCTTATTGTCCTACTTGATGCTATTAACTAAACTAAGCAGCACCTTTAGAATGTACTCAACTGAATGACAATTGTGGATTAAACATTGTGGAGTCCTGTGATGGTAGCAGAAATTAATATCTATAATAATGCCATTAAGTCAAAAGTTGTCCTTAAAATTAATTGTCATAGTGAGTTGTTTTGGGTTATAGACCAATGAAAGAAAGACATACTCTAGATGTGAAGGAGGGAAAATATAGATAGGGAAATTCTGTAAAATAAGCTTGTCAAAAGAAAGAACTTATATAGAAAAACGTATTGCATATTAAAAATATTTCTCTATAGAATACACGTGTAAGTTTGTGTTTAATGAAATAGGAACACATTGATTGCTGTCAGGATGAGATCTTCGATCAGAATTCTATATCCTGAGATGTGAAAATAGCAAAGGAATCAAAGTAAATACGGATCATCTCTACACCCCATACAAATATGAGTTGAATGGTATAGAAATCATGTATGTCTTCTCTGAAATATTTGTTTGGGATAATTCATGAAAAGTATATCATTTGTATCGCTTCTCAGCCTTTTGGCTAAGATCAAATGTAGTAAAAGTATATCATTTGTATTGTAGCAAAAAACTTTTGGGGATCAACTCTGCTACTAACCAGTGTTGAATAACAGGGAACAATGTATACAAAAAAAGAAACTTTAAAAATAGATATTAGAAATTGCAATCAATAAATTTGTTACACATTATACTTATTCTTGTTGTATATGCTGTTTTTCTTTTTTTTTTCCCGTGGAAGAAAAATTTTTAATTGCTGTTGCAAAAAAAAATCTGTATGAAGTAGAAATTGGTTTCAGTGACATTCATTCAAAGAGTGTTCTAGAAACCAGAGGTAACTGGAGGTGTACTTCTGCCAGCAGTGGAATAGACCCGTCGCAGATGGTCTGGCGGAGGCCAACGCCTACTGAGGACGCAAGCCTGGTCTGTGGGGAAGTTTGGGTGATACCTGGAGAAATATCATACTGTGCATAAACCACATTGAATTGTTTTCACAAGTGTTGTAAAGTTTCATACCGTGAAAGGTTTTTTCTACATGCACGTCAATTTCACAGCAAGAGTGGCATAGAATACCTAAACACAGAAGAGAGCATTCATGCAAGATATCTAACTCTTTGATATAATAACGCATACAATTCACGATGATGACACGATGCTTACATCTAGGGCTTTCTGCAACTACACGGTGGTGGTGATGGACAGCATGACCCGGGATCAGTATCTAGAAAGCAGCCACCACCTTCTTCTATGTGTGTTTTCTTTTTGCGTTTTTTCTTCATATTTCTTAATCAACTCTGCTGCTGTTGCTCCTTCTTATCAAAACTGGTAAAAACAAAGTTGTAATCACTGAACATAGCACTCTGGCAATCAAGACGTTTAAACCCTTCAATCTTCTGGGGCAAAGAAAGCACTGTGCGACATTTAGAACTCTGATTTACAAACAGGGTGGGCACACATTTTCCTGGCTTGAAGACTTCCACAACTTTCCTGATCAGGTCATCATGGGAGGTCTGACTTAAGTTTGTTTCAAAGCTAACATAAGAAAATTCTGGTTCTGGAGTGATGTGAATAGTCCAATAACTTCCATCCGATTTCATTCCATTCATTGAATACCCACAAGGATTGAACAGTGGAGCATCAATGACAGAACCTGGTATCAGGTCACGAATTCCACTCTCACTAGTGACATCCTTTGCAGGAACCCCATCTTTCATGGAGAGCTGGTCCACGACTGCTGGGTCAAGCTCATGCATCAGAATTTCCAGGGTTTGATCTGACTGGCTGATAACTCGACTCTCTGGGAAATCCAGAGTATACAAGTACCAACAGTCAGAATTCATACGTCCCATACAATACGTTGCTCCATTTGGGAAAATTGTATTAAGAAACTCTATTTCTTCCTGGAAATTCCGGTGTGGGTACCCTTGGTGAGAAGGCTTCATGAAATTCTTACGAGAATAAAAGAAGCTTTGAATTGAGTCAAACCCACTGTAGTCCCTAGCAAGCTTCAACAGGGGAACCAGTGCTTTCAGTAAGAGGGTGGTACCACGTGTCTTCAAAATGAAACGTCTCTTGGAGACAAACATGCTACTCTCACTGAGTACATAAGCTTCCTGCTTGTCAGTTTTTGTCACACTTATGATTGAACATTGCACATCCTTCAAAAGTATATCCCACTCGGATCTCGGGATGGTGCGAAGATCCCCAGATCCTTGGTTTGCGTCGGGCAGCTGCCGGGAGTAGCAAACCTCCAGCAGCTTCTCGGTTCCTTCGAAAAAATGTGCAGCTTCCATCACCGTGAGACTAGCGAACAACCAACAACCACAGAAAATCAACTAAATTAAATCTCTTCTCCC